CATTGAATACCGATAATATCGAAAACCGAATAAATTTTCCTCATAAGAAATAATGGAAATCAAATTAATCAGAGTAAGACACCCAAAAGTACGAAAAAAAAAAATTTTACTACATGGAATATTAAGTTTAATGCAATAGAATAATAACAATAAAATAATTGACACTTACCTTTAATGAAGATCTGGTGATGATTGATGGGATGGGAGGAGGGGAGAGGTGTTAGTGTTTAGAAGGGGAATCCCCTTCCATTAGGACTTGAGGTAGCAAGTCCTTTTCTGGGGTTACTTCACTTCTTCTTTTAATGCCACTAGGACCAGCTTCAGAGTCATTGGATTTCTGTCGCACAACATATCTGTCCATAGTGGCCCGTACCTCCCGTTCCTTTATGACATCCCTAAAGTGTTTCACAACATTGTTAGTGTAATAGTCACCAGCACAGCTTGCAATAGCTGTGTTAGGGTGATTGTCATCAAAAAAAGTTTGCACTTTAACCCTTTGACTGTCGCGGCCGTATATATACGTCTTACGAGGTACCGTGTTTGACGTATATATACTCATAAATTCTAGTGGCTTCAAATCAAGCAGGAGAAAACTGGTAGGCCCACATGTGAGAGAATGGGTCTGTGTGGTCAGTGTGCACCATATAAAAAAAATCCTGGAGCACGCAGTGCATAATGAGAAAAAAAAAACTGCGACTTTTTTTTCATTAAAATGCCGACTTTGTGGTCTATCTTCGTATTGTATTTATTACTGTATTCTCGTTTTCTTAGTCTCATTTGATAGAATGGAAAACATATTATAGAAATAGAGGTGATTTTGATTGATTTTACCATAAAAAGAGCCTAGAAATGGAGCTCAAAGGAGGGGAAATGTTTGATTTTTGCCAATGTTCAAAAGTAAACAAATGATGCCATTGTCCAGTAAATGTCCAACTAGCCATTCTAATATGCAGTCATGAATGGGTTGATGTTATTTATACAATTATTACAGTATTGCAGTAGTCTGCATAATAGTAAGTCTTCTATTTTTTGTTTGAAAAAAAATTCAAAATAGAAAGCAAGAGTAATATCAGAGGGGCCTGGAGACATGACTGATGAACAAAGTAAATGTTATTTTAGAGCCAGGAATGTCTGCATTGTTCATTCTGGACCTTATTTTGAAACTGTCATATTTTTTAGTTTTCGTGAATTTGGCCAAATTGCAAATTTCTGACCACATTATTAGGTAGTGGAAATTGGTAAATGGGCAGTTTCTTGTACTCAATCGATAGAAAAAATAGAGTTCTTAGGAAATAGCTATGAGTTTGGGCGACTGGAACAATGGAATTAGCCAAAAACAGGGCTCAAAGTGGACGAAATCGCCGATTTGTAAACAGTGCCGAGGTTGCTAACTTCGCGAGAGCATAGTTCCGTCAGTTTTCCATCAAATTTCGTTTTTTTGGTGTCATTACAATCAGGAAAAGATTCTCTATCATTTCATAAGAAAAAATAATTTTTTTTTTTAAATTTTGCGACACCAGGAGACACCTCAGGATTGGGGGTTGCGACAGTCAAAGGTTTAAGCCACATTACACACATTTCCTTAATCTTTGAAGTAGGCAACTTCTTCAATTTCTCTATCCCCTCCTCCGAAGCAGTTTCCTCAGGTCTGGCCTCTTGCTGTTCAAGATGATCTATCAGCTCATCAGTGGTTAATTCTTCACTGTCCTCCTCCACCAACTCTTCCACATCCTCCCCACTAACCTCCAACCCCAAGGACTTCCCCAGTGCCACAATGGATTCCTCAACTGGCATAGGATTCTCAGGGTTAGCCTCAAATCCTTCAAAATCCCTTTTGTCTACACATTCTGGCCACAGTTTTTTCCAAGCAGAGTTCAAGGTCCTCTTAGTCACTCCCTCCCAAGCCTTACCTATAAGGTTTACACAATTGAGGATGGTAAAATGATCTTTCCAAAACTCTCTTAGAGTCAGTTGAGTTTCTGCGGTCACTATAAAGCACTTTTGAAACATAGCTTTTGTGTACAGTATCTTGAAGTTGGAAATGACCTGCTGGTCCATGGGCTGCAGGAGAGGAGTGGTACAGTATTAGGAGGCAAAAACTTCACCTTAATGAAGCTCATGTCCCCAGAAAGTCGCTCTGACAAGTCTGTAGGATGACCAGGGGCATTGTCTAATACCAGGAGGCACTTAAGGTCTAATTTCTTTTCAGTTAGGTAATTTTTCACAGTGGGGGAAAATGCTTGGTGTAACCAGTCACAGAAAAAGTCCCTCGTGGCCCATGCCTTACTGTTTGCCCTCCACATCACACACAAATTAGCCTTGAGGACATTGTTTTTCCTGAACACTCTGCGAGTTTCAGAGTGATACACCAATAAAGGCTTCACTTTGCAATCACCACTAGCACTGGCACACATCAACAGAGTAAGCCGGTCTTTCATAGGCTTATGTCCTGGGAGTGCCTTTTCCTCCTCAGTAATGTAGGTCCTGCTTAGCATTTTCTTCCAAAACAGGCCTGTTTCGTCTCAATTAAACACTTGTTCAGGTTTCAGTCCTTCACTGTCTATGTAATCCTTGAATTCCTTCACATATTTTTCAGCTGCTTTTTGGTCCGAACTGGCAGCCTCACCATGCCTAATCACACTGTGTATGCCACTATGATTCTTAAATCTTTCAAACCAACCTTTGCTGGCCTTAAATTCACTCACATTACCACTATTTGCAGACCATTTCTTTACCAAATCGTCATGCAACTGCCTAGCCTATTCACAAATGATCGCTTGAGAGATGCTATCTCCTGCTATCTGTTTTTCATTTATCCACACCAATAACAATCTCTCAGCATTTTCTAACACTTGCGGTCGCTGTTTCGTAATCACAGTTGCACCTTTTGCAAGAACAGCTTCCTTGATTTCCGTTTTCCTGGTCACTATAGTAGAGATGGTTGATTGGGGTTTATTATACAACCTAACCAGCTCTGACACACGCACTCCACTTTCGTACTTTGCAATTATCTCTTTCTTCATTTCATAAGTCATTAGCAACTTTTTTCTTAAAGGGTTGGCACTAGAAGCTTTCTTGGGGCCCATGGTGACTTATTTTGCAGAAACAAGCACCAAACACAGTGATAATATGGATAATATGGAATGTACCGAATGTATCCTTAGATGCGCGCACACTGGCTGGCTTGTAAACACTGGCACACACGGGGCAGTTCAGGCCACACGTGAACATGTCTCATACGAATCGTATCGAATACCGGGTTTTCAATCGAATACCGAGGAAATTTTTTTGCGATATAATGTATCAAATACCGGATTTATCGAATACCGATGCCATCGAATACCGGGGGTCCACTGTATTTGTATACTTGCATCTATAAAATGGGACAGTTTGTGGATGGGACCCAAGTCTAAATACAGTACAGTACTGTACTGTACAGGTACTGTACCAAAAAGTCATGATCACTGCTTACAAAAAGAAGATAAATGCAAGTGCAAACACTACAACTATACCAGGTCCAAGAAACTGGAGGGAGAAGGTACATCACTGATGACATCACTTTGAGGAGGAACATCAGAAGCAGCTGAGGGACCTGGAAGTGGATGCTCTAGGGATGAGAAAGCACTGTGCTGGATGGCTTTCTTGAATGTTTCTTCTAGTGTCATCTTAGTCAATAACAATGGTTTTTGTCGTAGCAGTCTCTCATCAACTGTAGTCAATGTTTTTCTGGGGTAATAATGCCAGAACAGCGATGGCTCATCAGCACTGTAGATTTGTTCTGCTGTTAGATTTTCATCAGCAACAATCTTGGCAAACATATCAATGAATCAACGAATTTCTCTGCTGCTTCACAATCAGCAGATGCTGTACCACCACTAAACCTAACTTCAAATATTTAATTCCGTACCTTTTCTTAAGTTATTGCAACCATTCTGCTGAATATTCACAATTACCTTCAACGTTCAGTTTTTCAAAACAGATTTTTGCTTGTTTCATGATCAGCATTCCACTGAGCAAACACTGACAAATCCACTTCATCAATTCATAATCGAGATCTTCATTTTGCCTCTCTGCAATGTTTTTCTTTATTCATTAACTTTTGTTCATCACTTTCAGCATAGAGCTTCAACAGTTTGTCTTATACTTCTGTTTCTTTAGGTCATTGCTTCTTTAATGGTTGTTCCAATGCCAAACTCCTCGATCAGATGCTTCACACTTACACTGCTGTCAAGTTTTAACAACTTAACTTTCTGTGCTTCCTCTTTTTCTTTTCACTATTACCCATAGGCCTTTTCAAAATTTTTCAAAAATATCTTCACACCAGAGCACAAGACAGGTGGTAATCAGTGAGTAATTGCTGCTGACAACAAACTGGCACTACTACAAATATGAAGCTCGTCTGTCTTGGCTCAACTGATGGAAGGAGCGAGCCTGCACTACGTCTTGCGCTGAATGATCCATTTGTGATGCATTATGTCAACACTTGAAAAACTTTTGGATTTTGGAATTTCTAATAAAGGTTTCTCTACTGTAGTACATTACATAATCAATATTTAATAAATTAACCACATTTATTTTCATAATTCCATAATCTGTACATTGAATAGGTAATCAAAATTAAGTGTTAAATGAAGCTCTGATTTCAATCTGTACATAAATGTAGTACCCTCCAGCCTCTAATCTTTCAGTATAAATTGAGTGATTTTTATGTCATGTTCATTATGGTCAAACTGCATATTTATACTTTTGTTTACAGTACACAATTTTGTTATAAATTCTAGCAACACACTGATCTGATGTTTTATTTACATACTTTGTTCAGGGGATAGTACTAAATCTGTAAGGGTCATATAGCACTTGGGGAATGGGAGGCATTCAGGTTTTATCCAAGGAAGTAGAGGATAAGTCCCATTCCCTAGATCAAGAGCCTCTCACTGGCATCAAGGGACTTCCCTGAGAGGCTCATCTGATGCTTTAGATATCAGTAATCGTTGACTTACTTTCGAGAAATTCCAAGCCCTGCCTTCAGAATTGCATCCATCCGAAGAGATGATACTTTAGTCCTTATGTCACGGAAATCGTTGCCTGACTTTAATTCCACATCATCATCATCATCTTCATCTGAAACCTGTTAGGATAAAAATTTAATCTAACCCTTACAGATAAAAAAAATTGTAAATAAATTAAACTTCATATAAACTAGTTTAAAGTAAAAGTAAAAAACCCTTCATTGAATAACTTAATGATGATTGGGATAGCTGCAATTAGTATTACTTTCCTGAACAGATGAGTTAGAAACTACACTTAACTATCCTGCAGCCAAAAATATCTAAAATGTGCATCATTACAGAGCTAAAGAAAATTGGTCATAATCAACTTTAAAATGTGCATATATTAGTCTCATTTAGCCTCACCTGTGCTTCATGTATATGTAATATTCCAACCACAAATCTACAGTGTACAGTATATACAGCAAAACAAAATGTAGGGTTAGGAGCACCAGTAAATCATTGCAGCTTCTGAAGCAAAATTACACAGATTAGTGCCTTACTAGATTTTATTTACATTTACAATTGATGAAATATTTGTCAAGATTTGTTCAAGTTAGATAAGATTTCTTAGGCCAGAATACTGCATGAATTACACTACCACAATCAAATAAATTTCTGGTTTTGACAAACAAATACATGTACAAGTGTAGCTTTTTTTTTTACAGATGTGAAGTGCTTATTTATTGATAACAAATGGTTACAGTGCTGTGAAAAATATATCCATTTTCCATCTCTAAATTTATAATTTCCTATTAATATGTCTAGACAGATTGGCTTCTAAGGTAGTTCAATCAAATAACATTGTAGAATTAAGTACAGCATTCACTTCATTATAAAAGGCTGATCCATTAACATTCAACTAGGTTAGTTCCATCATAAATTGTTATACACATTATATACTACATACGTATATATATACTATATGTATAAACTGCTCATGACATCAGTGAGACTATCCTTTGTTTTCCATTTAGTTGCTAATCAACAATATCAGAAAGTTTTACTGGCTCCTTAAGAGTAATGTTGCCATAATTTTATAAATTTTGCACCAATCAGAGGGTGGTTAAGGTGTAATAAAATGAAATTTCTGATATGTTCAATAGAAATTACTGTACAAAACCTAAACTGATACTGCAGAATAAGCTATAGGTAATTAATCTTAATGAATACAAATTACAGGACAGAGAAAATACAGAACAAAATCTGCCAGGTCAACTGACTTTGAAACAATGGACAAAATCCAATGGCTACAGTATTATCTATTATTGTTATAATGATGGCAAAACAATCTCTCTATTGACCATAATTGCCATTACTGGCCACCTGCTCCCCCTAATTAGTCCATTATATTGAAGGTTTACTATCTTGTGGAGTGCAGATATAATTCCATGAATATGGAAACTGAGGCATTAAAACCCACAATTAAAGGGTATTGTCAATGAAATTCATCTCTACTAATGATTAAGGTATTGTAGACTTATTAATAAAATGGGATGAATGCCAATTACACAACATAAAATTGAATAAGATCATTTACATAGCTTCATCTCCAGTCAACTCCATCTGCCAGGAGAGACCGTGCAATGACAAATGCCACGAGAGACACACAAAAAATTTTACTGAGCCAAACTAGTTAGTGCTAGTTGAACAAGTTTTTCAATCACTCTGGTGTTAGGGGGCATGTAACCAAAAATACTTTTTTTTTATTTATTATTAAATTTTGGACTGATAATAGATGTACAAAGAAATAGAGTGGTAAGTGTAACTGCCAAAAGCCCTTGTAGAAGAGCATTAGGGCAGGTTTAAAATTAATTTAAAATTTTTAACTAAGCAATGAATTTTCAAGGGGGAAAAATTTATAGTAAAAAAATAAAAATTAAAAAAATGAGTTTTTCAAAGACATGTCAATGGTCATTTGGGGTTTTGCTTGCATAAAAAGAAGGGAATATTCTTTTGGGAAAATGAAATTTAAAAAAAAACAAAGTTTGATGGGGTCAGGTTTATTTATTTATTTATTTATTTATTAAAAAATTTGTGCACACATCAGAGGTAAAAAAAAAAATACGATAAAGCAATCCCAAAGCCACTTATACATGCATAGCTTACGGGCGGGCTTAAAATTAACTTAAGATTAATTAAGCAATGTGAATCATGTAAAAATTTTAATGAAACAGATTATAAAGCAAAGTGAGTTTTACAAAGAAGGTCATATGAGGATTCGTTGGTAGTGTTTTTAAAAAATAATAAAGTTAGTTTGGGGTTTTGGGTTTAACTTTATGTGATAATTTGAGAAACTTTAAAAGATATACAATTTTAAATGGTTCAGTATTCAGTATTTATTTGGTTTTGGGTGAGTAAGTGATCTTTGAGTAGAGATTTGAATTATAAACAGGTTTTTCTTTTATATTTACAGGTAAGAATTCCAGATTTTAGGGCCTTTTATGTGCATTGAGTTTTTGCATAGTGTGAGAAAACACAGGAACATAAAAGAGTGATTGTGCCTTGTGTTATGGTCAGTGTTCGTTGAGGTTGGCAAGGGAATTTGGGGGAGGGTTAATATCAGAGTTAAAGTGTTCAAATGTATGTAATAGGTGCAGTAATAAGTATGGATTTTTTTGTATGGTGATAGTTTAGTGTATTGAATTTGGTGGAGTGTGCTGCCTGTAGTGAGAATTTGTTATCATTCTAACTGCAGCCCTTTTTTTGGGGTAATTAGGGGTCTGAGATGGTTAACTGTTGTTGAGCCCCATGCACAAATCCATAGGTGAGATAGGGGAAATAAGAGAGTGATATAGGGCCAGGAGGGCTGACTGTGGAACATAGTACCGTATCTTCGATAGTATGCCTACAGTCTTGGAAATTTTCTTAGAAATTTGTTGTATATAGTGTATGAAATTTGAGTCTATTATCAAGGTGGATTCCTAAGAATTTTCCCTCTGTTAGCTTTGTGATAGGTGATCCGTTATCATTATGTTAAGAGGGACATCTGTAGCTCTGTTACCAAACTGAATGAAGTAGGTTTTGTCAATGTTTAGTGTAAGTTTGTTAGTCCTCATCCAGGTAGATATTTTCTGTAATTCGGTATTTACAGTATTGGCTAGTGTGACTGGGCTCGGTGAGAGAAGACGTATGTAGTGTCATCTGCAAATAGTGTGGGTTTGAGTAATTGCGAAGCATTTGGAAGGTCATTTATGTATAGGAGAAAGAGAAGAGGGCCAAGGACACTTCCCTGTGGGACACAACTGTAATTGTTGCGCAGAAGAGTTTGCCCCATTTGCGTACACATATTGGCTTCTGTTGCTGAGGTATGACTTGAGGTAATTGAGGGAGTGCCCTCTTATACCATAGTGTGACAATTTTACGTGGAGCAAGTCATGGTCAACTGTATCAAAAGCTTTACGTAAGTCAATGAAGATCCCCAGTGGGACTTCTTTTTTCTCTATTGCAGTGTATATATGTTCTAGCATGTGTATAATAGCATCATTAGTATTTTTATTAGGCCTGAATCCAAATTGGCAGGGGTTGAGTATGTTATGAGATACAGTTATTCAGTATTTATTTAGTTGTGGGTGAGTAAGTGATTTTTAAGAAGAGACCTGAATTTATAAACAGACAGTGTTTCTTTTATATTCACAGGTAATGAATTCCAGATTTTTGGGCCTTTTATGTGCAATGAGTTTTTGCATAGTGTGAGATGAACATGAGGAACATCAAAGAGTGATCTGTGCCTTGTGTTATGGTCATGTGTTCTGTCGAGGTTGGTAAGGAGACGTTTGAGGGGAGGGTTTATATCCGAGCTAAGTGTTCTATGTATGTACAGTTGACCCTCGCCTAACAATATTAATCCATTCCTGAGAGCTCAACGTTAGGCGAAATTATCGTTAGCCGAATTAATTTTACCCATAAGAAATAATGGAAATCAAATTAATCCGTTCCTGACACCCCAAAGTATGAAAAAACAAAATTTTTACCACATGAAATATTAATTTTAATACACACAAACTGAAGAAGACATGTACAATTACATGACACTTACCTTTATTGAAGATCTGGTGATGATTGATGGGATGGGAGGAGGGGAGTGTGGATGGTGTTAATGTTTAGAAGGGGAATCCCCTTCCATTAGAACTTGAGATGTCAAGTCCTTTTCCGGGGTTACTTGAGAGTCACTGGACCTGTCGCACAATATATCTGTTCATAGAGGCCTGTACCTCCCGTTCCTTTATGACATTCCTAAAGTGTTTCACAACATTGTCAGTGTAATAGTCACCAGCACGGCTTGCAATAGCTGTGAGGGTGATTTTCATCAAAAAAGGTTTGCACTTTAAGCCACAGTGCACACATTTCCTTAATCTTTGAAGTAGGCAACTTCCTCAATTTCTCTATCCCCTCCTCGGAGAAGTTTCCTCAGGTCTGGCCTCTTGCTGTAGAAGATGATCTTGCAGCTCATCAGTGGTTAGTTCAACATTGCCCTCCTCCACCAACTCATCCACATCCTCCCCACTAACCTCCAACCCCAAGGACTTTCCCATTGCCACAACTGATTCCACAACTGGCATAGGCTTCTCAGGGTTAGCCTCAAATCCTTCAAAATCCCTTTTGTCTACACATTCTGGCCACAGTTTCATCCAAGCAGAGTTCAAGGTCCTCTTAGTCACTTCCTCCGAAGCCTTACCTATAATGTTTACACAATTGAGCATGCTAAAGTGATCTATCCAAAACTCTCTTAGAATCAATTGAGTTTCTGTGGTCACTACAAAGCACCTTTCAAACATAGCTTTTGTGTAGAGTTTTTTGAAGTTTGCAATGACCTGCTGGTCCATGGGCTGCAGGAGAGGAGTGGTACAGTATTAGGAGGCAAAAACTTCACCTTAATGAAGCTCATGTCCCCAGAAAGTCGCTCTGCCACGTCTGAAGGATGACCAGGAGCACTGTCTAATACCAGGAAGCACTTAAGGTCCAATTTATTTTCCAGGAGGTAATTTTTCACAATGGGGGAAAATGCATGGTGTAACCAGTCATAGAAAAAGTCCCTAGTGACCCATGCCTTACTGTTTGCCCTCCACATCACACACAA